ATGAGTGTGATTCAACATTAAAAGGATAGAGAATTAAGCCGCTTTATATCCATTTGCAGCCACCACCCATTGTCCCTTTAGAGATCAGCGCTGTTACCAATTGCTTATATATTTTGTCAGAGATATTCTAGGCAAAACAAGGTTATAGGTAATGATAAGAGCATTTCTAGTATTCGAGTAGATTTTTGGGTGTTCTTCTACACTGCCGTCTATAGGAAGTACAAAGCTCATAAATTAAAATAGAAACACCTGGCTTTAGTGTCACTATTTGTTAGAAATATTCTTTATGGTCTTATCTATCCATTTTGGCCATATGCCATCATCATAGTGGATCACATCAGTGTAAGTGACGGTTCCTTTAACTTTTCAATATGTCTGTATGCTCACTCTAGAGCAGGGGTTGGCAAACTTTTCCTGAAAAGGGCCAGATAACATGTATTTTAGGCTCTGCGGGCCATCTGATGTCTTGCAACTCCTCAACTCTGCTGTTATAACACAAAAATGGCCATAGACACTGGAACATGGTACAATGGCTTTACTGTAATAAAACTTAATTTATAGATACAGAAATTTAAATTTCTTATACTTTTTATGTGTCACAGATATTCTTTTGACTTTTTTCAACCATTTAAAAATGTATAACTATCCTTAACTTGGCCATACAGTCTCAACTGGTTGCTTCCTACTCCTAATGCAGAGTAGATATTGAATCTTTCTTCACCATCATCTTGGGATCCCTTTATTTTTTCTATTGGATCACATCTCCTATTCCCGGTGTTCATGTATGCCTCATTTTATGGTTTACTCCCTCATTTTGGTGGTGCACATCCTTTGTTAGCTTCCTGAGAGAGTATGTAAAAGAGTGAAAACAGTTTAGATTTTGTAATTGTAAAATGTCTTTTTTCTTTTCTCCCACTTATTGATAGTATAGGTATAAAATTCAAGAATGGAAATTCTTTTTCCCCAAGATTTTGAAGACATTTCTGTATTTATCTCTAGTTTTCAGTTCCATGGAGAAATCTAAATTCCTTCTGATTCGTAAACCTTTGTATTCACTTTTTTTCCTCCTTTCTAGAAGCTTTTAAGGTTGAGTTTTCCCCCAGCATATTGAAATGTAACATTGATGTACCTTACTATGGGTCTGTTTTCATGCATTGTGTTGGGTACTTGGTCGTCCCTATCAGTCTGGAAATTCATGTCCTTTAGTCCTGGGAAATTTTCTTGCATGTTTTCCCCTCCGTTTCTTCTTTTGGGAACATCTATGAATCTTTTTTTAGATCACTGAATCTCGTACTTTTTTGTTACTTTATGAAAGAGTTCCACAATTTTATCTTTTCTATCAAAGTCAAACCACGAAAACAGAA